TCAGATTCAAGATCTTGTGATCTTCAACAAACCTTCTGACTTCTAGTATTGTTGAGCCAAGTTTCCCCCATCTTGTAAATGTGCATTTGGTTCCCTTTTCCTAGGTGTAGAGTTGAGCATTAGTCCCTACTGATTTTAATTCAGACCATATCAAGAGAGTGTTGAATTTTGTTCTTGTCTTCCAGGATATTGGCTCCACCACCCACCACCCATCTACAAATCTGATCAGCATTTCCTGCACCTCTTCATTCAAGTCATTAATAAAAAATGTTAAAGAACACTGTTCCCAGGACTAAGCCCTGTGATACACTGCTTGTTACCTCACCCCAGACTGTGCCATTGAGAAGCAGTCTGATTCTGTAACCAACAGTAGATACACTTGATAGTTGTTCCATCTAGTTCACTTTTAGCTTTTTTAGTAATAAGAATGTCATGGGGTACTTTGTCAGAAGCTTTACTGAAGTCAAGATATAAATAGCTACATGATGATCTAGTGCTGGACCCAGATTTTGTCATAACCAAAGTATGGTGTAACACCATGGTGGGTAGAGATGGGGTGGAGAGAGGGGCATGGAGGTGAGATGTGAGGCACTCCCATTTTCTGAGAAATCCTGGCCTTTCCTCCTCACAAGGAAGGGGAAAACATTGAGACTCCTGAAACTGGCTGTCTAAATATTTTGGAGGACAATGGAAGGACTGAGGCAATCCTAGCCTCTATGTTGTTCATATATGCCATCAAATCATCATCATCATCATCATCATCATCATCATCATCATCATCATCTCTATACTGCCCTGTAGCCAAAGCTCTCTGAGTGGACAAATGCCAGTCCTCCAAATTTGGAGGGTTAAGAGCAGTCACTCTGGATCCTCCCATAAAGGTATATATTAATGTGGATTTTGTCATTTTTCTGAAGGTCAGCATCAACTATTTTTGGAGGAGGTTCCAAGTAATAGTGCAATCTTATACCTATTTTGTTAAAATTAAGTCCCATTGATCTAACAGCTTATCAGATAACTGGATATATAATTGTAGTCTGAGCCTGTTGTATTTTGCTTTTTAACATCTCAGCAACAAGATAGGACTTTGCAGTGCCCACCTAAGCCACCAAAAATGACCTATATATAGAACTCAGTTCCTATAGCCAATTCTATACAAATCAAGCTAGTAGCATTTTAACAATAAGCCATGCAGTTAACAGAAATACAGAGATGAGGGCTGAGATAATGCAACTGACACAGCAAATTGATTTATATTTCCAGGTCAATTGTCTAGACAGAGTGAGCTAGCAGCCTGAATATTTATTAAAGTAAGTGAATAGAATGTTTTGTCTAATAGAATTATTTGGAATAGATAGGCAACCAGAGAAAAAACAGTGTAACACTTCAGAAACAATTAATGATCCTTTTCTACCAGAGTCCTTCAAAGTTAAATTGTTCCATTTCTTTGCAGGGTCAGTGCCAGAATGCAAATTCTATAGATTTGAGCATCTCAAAACCATTCTGAAGGTTTCTCTTTCTGAGCTGGACTTATGCCAAAGGATTCATTTATTTAAATGTGTTTTCTCTTGTCCAAAATTCCTGGGAGCTCAAAAGCTATTGTTGATGTGACAACACTGATTTATAAATAAGAATAGAAACATCATATATCTTCATATATAAACATGGTGGAAATGGTGCAATTCATTTGCTTTCCTTGGTGCTAATCCTAATCATATATCAGCTATTATTATAATACATCAAATTATAAATATGCCTGCTAAACATATTTCCCATTGGACACAATGGAGATGACTTCTGATTAAACTTGCATAAGATTTACCCATGAATCAGTATTAGACTCAGTTGAGTCTACTTGCACTATATCTTTGTATATCTGCTTAAGAGATAGTCCTGCTGAATTCACTGACTGTCAGATAACTGAATCTAGGTGTGGTACCTTCTTTGTGACTTATGGCCAACTTAAATTATTTTTATATTTCTTAGAAATGGCTATGCTGGAGCAAAAGATGACTATCTCCATTTCAAAAAGGGTTTCTTACAATCCAATCATATACAGTTCCACTGAAAAGTAAGTCTCATTGAGTCTTGCTCCCTAGCAAATATGAGTAGGGTTGCAGTATTAGTAAAAGAAAGTATTTGCTGACATATGTGTCAGATTCAAATGTGATCATAGATACCAATCAACAAGCAAATTCACTTTTCAGTGGATATATCTTATACTGCTTTCAGGATATATGTGTGAATAGACAGATGAACAAAATATCTTTCAGGATATATTTCAGTATATTCATGACACCATATAATAAAATATCATTAGAAACCTATTCCTCAAGTATCTGACAAAAGCCCCAATCCCCATCTACTACTGGAGACTTACTGTTGAGCATCTTGAAATTCCTTGAATAAAACATCAGCTTTAGAAACAAAATACAAGAAAATGGCCAACAGGATTACCCATGCTATACCCAAGTGCATAGCAACTGGAAAACACCTTTGATGTAAATAAAAGAATTAAAGAAAAAATCATTTTAAGAACAATACTGACTCCCAGGGAGGTCCTGTTATTAGAAAATAGTGTTCCAAATAACAGCAGGTGGATCTCAAATGCTTTGGAATCCAGATAATCCACTAGATGTTTGAATATTTGTGGATTAGTCTGTTTCCTTGAACACCGCTCCTTTCCCCTGTGAGGAAGCCTGACTCTCCACACTAATCCTTAGCCCTTCATCTACCTCCCAACAGGCAACTCTTTTCATCACAGCCCTTAAGTAGACTAATTCTACCTACGTTTAAACCATGTTTTTGTCTTAAAGAAATAATGAATACCACCAAAGTACTACAAAAGCACTTTCTTTGTGATATATACACACTACGCTGAGGCAGTAGTGTGTGTAAACAGATCTCAAGATGTTTTAGACATCAATTTTTCCAACATTACAAATCATTGCTTATGCTAGCAGGGACTTCTGGAAGTTGAAGTCCAAAGCATCAGGACCTTCTGCCCTACTCAGTCATAGGAACTATCATTAGTATGGAGATCAAAGTTAATCCCAAGTAATATTGGGGCCCTTTGTATTTTATTTATTTATAATAGTTTTGGTATGTCATTTACTCAGCTGTGATGGCTCTCTGAATGGTTTACAGACAATAAAATACAGATATAATACCATATATTATATTGCATTATGTGCTGGCCATGGGCACTGCAGGCTTTCATTTTGACTTTGGTGGTGAGGCTGGATGCTCATATATTTCCCACTTCATGGGAAGTTGCTCTATTTAGCTCGGTATGTCTCCTTCCATCAGTGGCTCTTCTGGTTTTCAAAAAGGAATATTTCCAGCTGTAGTTAGAGATGCCAGGTGCTCTACCATTGAGCTCTCCCTGCCTGCACAAGTGAGACTGTCATACATACCTAGCAGACCTTAGGATCATTGGAAGAATTCTTGCTGGCCATTCCAATATTACTGAAACATCACCACGTTAAAATCTTGACAGTGGGCCTTCTCAGGGGGAAAAAATCCATTGTGCAAATTGAGAAGCAGAACATTTGATCTTTTTGTAACTCCTCCTGAAATACAACAGAAGTAGCTTTCAAACTGAAGTCATGTCCCCAAACAAAAATAGTTCTTACCTCTGTTTTTTTGTTTGTTTGTTTGTTTAGGGAATTAAAATATGAAGAAGAGCTGAGGAATTAGACTGAAGTTGTCAATGCCTATATTCAAGTTGGTGGTAAATACTCAGGGGTAGCAACAACTGATAATTTTCATTATGTGCTGTCCATTATTCCATATCAAGGTGTGCTTAATGGATTTAGGGAGGTCTAACCAAAAATAAGGATGTTGGAAATCATTATTGGTATTATTATTATTACCACCACCACTACTATTAATAAGCTTGTTATAATAATAATAATATACTTCTTCCAACAGAATGCTGCATCAGTTGTGCAAGGTAAGGAATGCTTGCAAGGCTGTTTTAATGGTACTCTAATTTCAATTACAGGTCCTTTTCACTGAAACATCTGACTCCCACACAAGAGTTTATGGGAGGATGTTGAAAGAAGGCTTGTGGCATAATTGTACTATGACATTTTCTCAGGATACATTTGGAGGGCACTAGGTTGAGGAAGGTTGATCTACAGATGCAACAGCTTGCATTTTTTTCTTGCCATGGAACTAACCATCATCACTTGCTTTGAGAAGGCACTGGAACAAGAGGGATGTTTTACATGTTGCAAATGATATGGCAAGATGGAGCCAGTTACTCACTGGTGGTGGAGGAGGTGGATTCCCCTGAACTAGCGCAAACAGTGGTACCACCCAGAACCCCCCATTGTTAATTGTTTTTATGAAGGAAAACTAAGGTATTCTGTAATGTAATCTTTTTCCAAACATGAGCTCAAGGGTTTGAAACAGGCAGAAATAACCTTCTCCCAGGCACCTTGTATGGATGAGCCCTAAAGAATATTATGGTTTGAATGAAGGTCAGTCAAGATGGTCCACCACAGTACAGTAGGATCTAGCATGAAAAGCACTCATATCAAGCAGAACTGAGTCCATTGCAAGTCTCCACAAGCAAGAGCAGGATGGCTATTGTGCACTGCTCCATGTATGAAACAGCAAACATATTGTGTGCATTCTACAGGCAGTCACATCTAAGCAAACAAGAGTTGCTTAACATCTTTTTCCACTTGTGATGTCCTGACAGCCTAATCCGAATAGGCAAGGTTCATGTTTGTGTGGGTTACTGATTGTCTTACTTCCAGCACCTGTGCAGTCTTTCCTTCCACATCTTATAATCCCATGGATTTCTGTGAGAGGCCAATGGATAGAAAAACTACACAGCTGGACTGCTTGCTAAGTAAATAATCAGAATCAGCAGATTTAGAGTCATACGGGCACCTGATAAGTAGCCTGTTTTGTAGTGGGATGGAGTATAAAAACCTGAATCTCAAGAGCCTTTCGCTGCTGGCAGAGGTTCACCATCCACACACACAATGGCCTCCTCTTCTTTGCTTCTCATTTGCCTGGCTGCAATGGTGTATCTCACTGAAGCTGCACCACTGGTAAGCACTGCATTAATTGTACAAGAGCTTGGAGGTGAAAGCATAGTTTTTCCACCAGTGTATTAGAGAATCTGTGCTGTAGACAGATATGCTGATCCATATCTTTTAGGTACATTTTGGGGACAAATTCCTTTGATGAAAATAACAAGAATTCAGCTGCCAACAACTGATAATTAATGGTGTGTTGAGGGAAAATGGTTGAAAGATGTAGCTTGAATTACTAGCATATGCCTGCCACTGTCTATCAGGTACAAATATGGATGCCAACGGTTTCAGTTCTCAAACAAATATCTGTTGAATGAACATTTCAAGCCCTTTTATTGTATAATGCAGAATATTGTATCATTTGGAAGATCTGCCTTCTATAAATGAAAAATTAGATACATGGCTTAGGTTTGTTGTCAGTATTAAAAAATCAAGCTCTGTACTGGTGTTTTATATATGTATATTTGTATGTGTGTGTGTATCTTTATATACTCATTGCCTCTAAATCTTAAATTTCTGCTACTCTTTGTGAAACTTCCCTATCTCTTTCCCTGCTCTACTATATGCTTTTATAAGTTGTTTTTGGAATATTTTAGTTCAAATAATTTAAGGAGTTAGAAATAAGGCAAATGTCTTTTGTTGACTCCTATATATTTCAGTGTCATCTATGCAACAGAGAATCTGTTCCATGTTTACTGTTGATCCTCTAACATCATTTTAAACATGTTTTTTATACTTCTGTCTACAAGGAACAGTGAAGTTTGAGTCTCTCTGATTCACATCATTAATCAGATAATTAAAAATCCATGGCACAATGCTCAAAAGACATCTAGCATACAGTTTGTAAGGAATAAACATTCTTAAATATCTCAAGCCCCATTGAGGGACTGCCTTTAAATCCATGCAGAAGGAAAAAACTGGTATTCTTCTTCAGGGAATATGAGTCAAGCAATACTTATTTGTTAAAAGTAAAGCTTAAACTTACCTATCCACCCCTTTCTTTTGTGCCTGCTTTGAAATATTTGAATTAATAGTTGCATACTGTGGCTTTATTCAAGAGAACATCATTTGCACTAACTCTTAGTTCTAGTGAAGTTCCCCACCACTACCATCAGCCAAATCTAGGTGGTGTACAGGCAGATGAATAGTTTGTGTTCCTTTGTGCCCACAAGACAGTGGACCCATATGCAATCACTGATAAAGTGTTTTCTTCTGCCTTATCATCAAGATATCCCATGGCTCCATTGATTCCAAGTGCCCTCTTATGGTGAAAGTCCTTGATGCAGTTCGAGGAAGCCCAGCTACCAACCTAGTCGTAAGAGTGTCTAAACAAGCTGAAGATGGAACCTGGAAGGAGTTTGCTAATGGGTAATTTATAGTGCATGTACAATGTTTTGAAGAGTAAGTTGAGTTTATTGAGCCTGATTTCCCAAATTGCACAAAATTGTAACACAAGCCTGTTCCCCACAAACCTTCACTTGTACACCTTACTATTTTTAAAGGTTGTATAAATTACCTGTATTTTCCCAAAGCAATAGGGAAAACTGTTCACCTTAGCACTAGGGACACTACCTGTGATCCCATATCAGTAAGATGAAAACTGCAGAAAAGTGACAGGGGTGCTTCTCCAGTGTTACATAGCACAGCATTGATTGAATGAGCACCATGCCTGAGTGTAATAAGATCCATATTTGAAATTTACTATAATCACACATTTCTAAAACACAACAGCTACATAAGAACCTTGGGAATTACATAAAGTTTGGGAAGGGCTGCAATTTGCCAACACCCACTCCAGAGCATCCAAAGTTGTGTTGAATTACATAAGAATGACCTTTTCAATGTTATCTACAGACAATAGATGGGAAATAGACACCATCAATATTTTTAGGCATAAAATGGATATGTTAGGGAAGGATGTGAAGCACGGACTCTGTCCAGAAATGTTATTGATGCTATCAGCTAGTGCCACATGTGTTCCATAAATGTAGATGTTAAAGCTTTCCATTTCCTTTCTTTTCTTAGCATACATATTTTCTCACCAAATCAAACAAAGCTCAGTCTTCATTATTTTAGACTGAAAATGGCAAAATGCTCTGACAATGACAAACAGAATTGCTTAACCCTGACATGTTTTCAAATGTATTTTGAAAGCAGCTAGTTCTTGAAATGAATCAATTTCCAGGCAAACCTTGCATTCTCCCTGAATTCGGTAGAGTATACCCCAAAATAAATGGAAATAGATTATAATCTAAAACATCTGAAATCTGGGCTCTTTATTATGTTGATTCATGTTGTTATTTCAGTACAACAACAAAAAGTTGGTAGTTCCCTATGCCTCAGGTCCATTGCCCTAAAAGGCATAAAAACAGTTCAATAAGCACAATGGATTAGTCCCTCATGATTTGGTTTCCCCATTTATTTCAGTGAAGGGCAGTACTGCACAAAAAGGGTATGGAATGAAATACATGGAAACAGAGAGGGAGAGAAGAAAAACCCTGGCATTTCATGTATGAATCAGAAACCCCTACACACACAGGATCCAGATTTAGAGTTGCTGTAGTTATGTTGTTATGTGCCATCAAGCCTTCTTCGGCCTTGGGTGACCTTATGAGCGAAAGCCCAACCAAATATTCTGTCCATGACACTCCATTCAGTTCTTCCAAGTTCAAGGCAATGGCTTCCTTTATAGATTCAACCCATGTTATATTTGGTCTTTCCTTTGAACTTCCTTCATTTTTTTTCTAAGATGAGTGTCTTCTCCAGTGAGTCTTGCCTTCTCATGATGTGTCCAAGGTATAACCTACTGAAATCAATTCACTTTGATTATTCTGTCAATAGGAACTACACCAGGAATGACTCAGTTTGGATCCAATTGATGATATAAATGTTAGAATAAATGCATATGCCATAAGAACAGATTTATTTATTTATTTAGGATATTTTTATCCTAACTACTTTTATATATCCTCATTATAGGAAAACAAATGAATTTGGGGAAATCCATGAACTTACAACAGATGAACAATTTGTAGAAGGTCTGTACAAGGTAGAGTTTGACACCAGCACATACTGGAGGGCACTTGGTGTTTCCCCATTTCACGAATATGCTGATGTGAGTATTTGGAAATATATCTTTTCATATCTAGCATAAACTGATAAAATAAAAATTTCTTCTCCCTTATCATTAGTTTCTGAAGAAACAAGTAAGAATGTGGAATAGCTTCTTACTGTCAATTATGCCAAAGGACTGGTCTGAGGAGTGGGAAGCCTCCCCAGGTAGCAATGGCCCTCCTTGGGGCAGCACTTCTCACATGCCCACAAATAGGAGCATGAAAGCAGCCTTTGATGCCGCTTCTGTTTGTTTTTATGTCAAGCTTGCTGAGAGGAGTGGTGGGTATACTTCTTCAGCTGTCCCTAGGTGCTGCTTGGATCCTTTGTGGTGCCTGGGAAAGACAATCACCTGCTGCCAAGGAGATCTTCAGGGTTTTTTGTGTGCTTGATTTTTTATTGTTTTTGGCTTGGCCATGGCTTATTTTGTTGTTTGTTATAACAAACCATGGTTAGTTGGGCTCATGTATAAGCCACCCCTTAGGAAAAATCCTGGGTTTGGATGCATCATAAAGCACTTTAGCTAATATACCATCATGACTTAACATGTCATGCTAATCCAGTCATACCTTAAATTTAAAACAATGTACTTCACTGATGAAGAACATTCCTAAACAGAGGAATGCTGGGAGTTACAAGACTTTTTCTGTTTAAGCCCACATTGCTGTGAGAGTAGAGGACTGAATTCATAGTCCCAGATCTGACTTTCAAACACATTTTCAAGGTCATTGCTGGAATTATGAATTTTACTGAGGCTATTCAGAGAGTTTCTATTGACCATAGGATTGTGCCCTAATGAGACACATTTCTCATTGATCAATGATGACAGAGAACACTATAGGACTGAATTCTTCAAAATTATGTTCAGCCTAAAAAAATCAATGGGAGTTTGGCAACTGAATTCAGGTTACATATGAATTCATTGTATCACAATGACATTCCACATTTTAATTGTGTTAAGTGAAATGTAAGTATATATTATCTATAAATAGTTTATTTTCTTGATAGCAATTTTGATATAAACATATTACTTCTCCCACTTGCAATCAAGGAACCAGTATCTATGTTACTTTGTTTGTATAAAGATCTGTTCCCTCTACTGAAATTAATTTGGCAGTCCAAGGATGCTAGACCAAGTCCACATACAGATGGGAATGATTGGACAGTGTATAAATCAGGTCAAGTGATTATTGATCCTTAGTTTTTAATGTAAGGGTATTATCCTACCTCTACAGTTTTTATGGAAACAGAAAGTATGTATGCCAAACTCAGTGTTTTCCTTTTACAGGTGATTTTTACTGCTAACGATTCTGGCCATCGTCATTACACCATTGCTGCTCTTCTTAGTCCCTTTTCTTATTCTACCACAGCTGTTGTCAGTGACCCAAAGGAATGAGACCATACGCTATTCTTACAAGGTTCTCTATGCTGTTCCATTTGTGTAGCATTATTTTAAAGGAAGCAGTTAACATGTATAATCAATGGCTCATTTACTATAATAGCATCTAGCACTGACATCTTGGCTAAACCTTTTATGAAATGTATCAATAAATATTTCTTCTCTAAACATTTTGTGTCATTCATGTTTGTGTGTGAGTGCATGTGCATGCTATGAACAAGTCGATTCCATTTAAACGCACAAGTGAAATGCACAATTCCAGCAATACAGCTCAATCCCTAAATTCCATTGCATATTCAACACCCAGATGCCAGCATAAGTAGTGAGCTCTTGTTTGCTCATTTGGTCTGTATAACTTTACAGGATCTCTGGCTGGTGGGGGTATTGGAGGCCTAGAGAGAAGTAGCACCTCTGATAAGAAGGGAGCCTTGCTGGTGACAGACGGAAAGTATATAAGCACCCTACAGCAGACATGGGCAACATGCCAACAAGTCCCTACAATCCTGGCCAGCAACGTCAGTGGTAAGGACTGCTGGGAGTTGTAGGCCAAAACATCAGGAGAATTGCATGTTGCTTACACCCATCCTACACGGACTTCTTCAGGGCTCTTTTGTAGAGAAAAACGTAGAATATTACTGTTGCCTATACCTTGTAAAGTGCTGGAAAATGCTGCAACTAAATTGTTGCAAAACTAAAGAATCCTATACACATTGGCTTATATCCTACAATTTCACTCCATGATAGGATGGAAACTTGTGCTCACAAAAGTTCCCTTTCATGAAGGCAGGGCAAGCAACTATCTCCATTTAAATCTAGCAGCACTAATAGCAGAAAACCTAGCCCAAAAATACCACAGGACATCTGAAGATAGTTAAATAGGTATAGGTATGTACAGAGGAATTTAATAACTGATTATCTGGGCTATAATTTTCTAATATTATGCAGTTTTGGTAACCCAGCTAGAACTGACAGTACTTTTAACATTTGAAGAGGCAAGTCTCTTTTAATTTGAACTTTATAGCATAAAATTTACAGCTACATGAAAACCTTTAACATGAAAGAATGTATTGTTAGTAAAGTCCATCCAGTAAACAAATGGTAGGTTACATGATATCAAAATAACTTCTGAACAAAATAAGCATTTAATGTATTTATTTATTTTTATTTTGCATTTATATGCCACCGCCTTCTCCTAATGGATACTAGCCTTTAGGATACTAAATTTCAAAAGACAATGCATTTAAAAAGTACAAACATTTTAATGAGCAACATGATAGGTCATAGCATGATTCAGTACAATTCCTAGTTTGTGTGTGTGTGTGTGTGTGTGTGTGTGTGTGTGTGTGTACACATGTGCATGTGTGCACACATATTTAATAAGCATTTCAAACCTGGAAAAATAAAATAATGTTAGTATACTTTCTTTAATGTGCTACTAGTACTTTTTAACCATTTATAGTTAGCAAATAAATCACAAACTCAATACTTCACTGAATTAAAAACAGACACAGATATCCAAGGCAAAAAGAGAATAATTTATTATAGATATTTCAATGGTTTCTCATTTTAGCTTAAAATATTGGGGAAAGGAGATGAGAAGTTTTAAAATCAATCATTAATACTCCAAATAGACTCCATTTATTACATTATAGCTATTGCTTCATTTAAATTATAAATCTTCATTTTAAATTCAAAAGTCTTATTTTAAATAAGAGATAATTGCAAACAGCACTAAACTAGAAAGCATATTTAATTTGTCAATGGCTTCACAATGAAGTCCTGGATAAAGATTGTGAATGGCTCCCAGCTTCATTTGTAAGCTACATTAAAGGCACATGGCATATTAAAATCTGCTATAGAATAGCATATTTAAGCAGGAAAAATTGTACATCATATTTTGGGGTTTTGTATTCTGTCAAGTTAAAAATTTCACTTTATGCCTAAAGGCATAATATCTTCATATAAATAAATAAATATGCACCTTTATAAAAAGTTATGCAATGAGTTGTCAACAATTATTTATTCAAATAAGGTGGCCATATTAAATCAGGACAGTACAGAATAAATTATTAGTTCAGATTTACAAACATCCATAAATAAACTGGGGAATTAGGAGAAAAGAACACAAATTTAAATACTTTTTGTATGCATAACTTGTGTTATGTATTTTTAATATTGCAAGTTTATGGGCAAGATCTATTCATTTTTATCTCTGTAAATTTGCTAGCCCTGTGATGAACATAAATTATTTGGAAGTGTCCTTTTTTAACCTCTAATAACAAACAACCTGAAATAAAGTATTATACTGAGGTTTTTAAAAAGAAATTGAGAACAGTTTTTACTGATTTGATAAAGAACTAGTCTAGGATGCAAATAAGTGTTTTTATTTGCATTCTTTTTGTTCTTGATGCAAATGCTTATTTGACACACTTGCTGTAAAAAGAAAACAAACAATTCTTTGGTTCTCCCATTGCTGAAACTTGGCAACAGTCAGCAAAATAATAGCATTCAGTATCTAAATGCCTGTGTTTCAAATTACAGCAGAAAGTGTCATGCATTTCACATCATGTTAATTGCACTAGTATGTAAATATAATTAAGAACAGTGCTCATAAAAAGGATGCTATATGACAATCTTCACCCATTGCACAGAAACTGAGGGATATACAGACCCCAACTACATGCGTTGGTGCACAAGAAACAGGAGAGAACAACTCCACAAAATGGTGAGAACATTCATCCCTTCAATCAGTCATTAAGAGAAGAGACTTGGCTTTAATAGAAAAGCAGAGAATGTTTACAAAGGAAGGAAGGAAGGAAGGAAGGAAGGAAGGAAGGAAGGAAGGAAGGAAGGAGAACTTTAAGTATTAAAGATAATTAGTGTAAGGGGTATTTTCTAGGCATTCCTCCTTGGGCTAACTCCATTCCTTGGGCTAACTCCTTGGGCTAACTCCATTAATTTATCGTGAATGCCTGGAATATTCTACTCTTTACATATTTATATTTATATACTTATATCCTTCATTTTTCCCTCTTGCAAGGGACCCTAGGTGAATGACATGGTCCTCTTCCGTTTTATCCTTACAACTTACGCAGTGAGCTTCATGACCTAGTGGATGGCTAGACCCACAACTCCGGAGCCACAGTCCAATTCTCTAACCACTACACCACACTTGTTCTCATGTGAAATCTTTTCACCAATGCTCCCTACTCATTATCAGTCATTAACCTTCTAATAATGACACTTCTTTGCTCTTCTGATTGTGGAAGAATTAGTGATGGTTTGTTTTGTTTTTAATGAAAATGTCTACAAAACAGCCATATAAAACCTTAGCTAATATATTGGTTAGACATTGTTCCAACACCAAACGTACTGCAAAAGCATCCTAATGAAATGCAATATCTTTGATGAATTCCAAAAATATACCTGTCATATACATAAATAACATTATTTCAAGCATCATTAGCATTACCTGATAATAAAACAAAATTTAAAAGATTATTCCCATAAAATGTTGTGGTAAACTCACATAGGAGTTACTGTACGGGAGGTCTGTAGCTCAAAAGTAACTGTTTACAGTCAGTACTAGCCAACACTTATAAATTGGTCTGTTACTATAAACAGGTCAAAGTCTTTGTCTAGAATCAACTGCTTAAATATGATCTCATGCCAATACAGAAACTCTGGAGAGACCGAACACAAATACTGTTAAGCACATGCAGAACGCTTGAATGCTGCCATATTCAAAAGCACATAAGTTTATAACTGATGCTTTACATAACATGTAAAATATATTTTTAAAACTTAATTTTAATTACACTTTGTTGAACACACATTTACTGAGAGAAATGTTTCTCCCTTGCTTCTAAACAAGCTACAGATCTGTTTTCTATGGTTGAAATGTGTGGCTTTAGTTGAGAAAATGTGATCAAACAAGGCTTGAACATTGATTAGTTTCATGATGTAAACTTTTAAAGTAGCAGCCACCAGTATTTATTTTCAGCAAATGATGCACAGGCATACATCACTTGACTTCTTCTCTTTAGTCATCAGAAATACCTGATTTGAGGTCTTTAAAGCATCACATTAGTATTTTCCTGTGTTATACATTTTTGATCCATGACTTTAATCTGCTCTTCCATCAGTAGTCTTGAACAGGAGCTAATTCTGGCACAAGATTTACAGTTATATTTGTATATAATTTGCTGACAAGAATAGTTGGTGTATATAACAGATTATTCAACCCATCAATGTATTGACGTTCTCGGGAATATCTTAACAGCTTGTATCTATGGAGGAAAAGTATAGAACATTGATAAAAGTTATAGAACCCAGGTTCAATTGGTTATACCACAAGCTATATTTTCAACCATAAAAGGCGCACAATTGATTATTCTGTGACAACAGTGAAACTATTTAACAAAGACATTTAAAGACACACAAACATATATTTACAGCTTATAATCGTAAAAAGACTTAACATTGCAATCCTATATGTATCTATTTAGGTGTAAGTCCCATTGAGTTCAGCAATGCATATTCCCAGGAAAGTAGGAAAAGGATTGCACCATAAAGCTGGGGATAAAGAAATGCAAAATGTCAAGACTACAGAATGCTTATTTTTACATCTAAAAGAGGTCTGTAGTATCAACTGTATCATCTGCAGTATCAAATCTGCCAGTGTACTAATAGAAAAGCTACAACCTGTAAGCCGTCCAGAGACGACAGTGATGGACGGCCTGTAAATGTCCTAAATAAATAAACTTATACCCTCTAATATACTTATAGCTTATCAATCACTGTTTTTAAGTGCACACTTAGTAAATTTTCATATTACAAGCAATGCTTGAAATGACATTAGGAGCCTAAAAGCTGTGCACAAACAATGCCATTGTTGCTGTGTGCCATCAAGTCATCAAGTTAATTTGAACACTAGAAATAACAATGGCATAGACCAGGCATGTCCAAAGTCCGGCCCAGGGGCCAATTGCAGCCCGTTTCAAATTTCGAGCGGCCCACCGCCTCTTCTCCCCATTGGCTCAGCCTGTCACTCATCCCCGCCAGCTGGCGTTTTTCCCTTCACTGCACAGCGGTTCCCGCAGCTGTCCCCTGCTCCCTCCTGCTCCTTCAAGGCTGGTGGTTATATTTCACCAGAAGATGGCAGTAGACCTGAGTCAGCACTCTCGCCTCGTGACCCTTGTGACACAAGGCTTGTGTGCCCATTTCTAAAATGGCGACTGTAACTAAAAAAAGGAAAGTTGACAGCGAGGGCCGCTGCTTCCAGGACAAGTGGAAATTGGAGTATTTTTTCACTGAAATATGAAACAACTGTGTCTGCCTAATTTGCCAAGAGACTGTGGCTGTTTTCAAGGAATTCAATATCAAGAAGCACTACTAGACGAAACATGCTAACTACGACAAGCTAACTGGGAATGAACGTGGCGAAAAATTGAAGGAACTGGAAGCTGCTTTAACGGCACAGCCGTGCTTTTTCACAAAAGCCCTTGAGTCAAATGAAAACGCCACAAAGGCAAGCTACGAGGTGGCAACGCTGATTGCCAAGCACTGCAAACCTTTTACTGAGGGTGAATTTATTAAAGACTGCGTGATGAAAATGGTGGAGAAAATTTGCCCTGAGAAGAAGCAAGAGTTTGCCAATGTTTGCCTGGCTCGTAACACTGTGGTACAGAGAATTGAAGACATTTCATCTGATATTAAGAGACAGTTAGAGGCAAAAGGAGTGGAGTTTGACTTTTTCTTGTTAGCCTGTGACAAAAGCACGGATGCATCTGACACCGCTCAGTTATTGATTTTTTTTGAGAGGAGTGGACAATGACATGAACATGAGTGAAGAGCTACTTGACCTCCAGAGCCTTAAGGACCAAACAAGAGGAACAGATTTATTTGTTTCTGTTTGTTCCGCCGTAGATGACATGAAACTACCGTGGAATAAAGTCACTGGGATTATTACGGATGGCGCACCTGCCATGGCTGGCGAGTGAAGTGGATTATCAACCCTAGTCTGTAACAAAGTCAGCGAAGGAGGAGGCAAAGCTATAAAACTCCACTGTATTCTTCACCACCAAGTTCCCTGTGCCAAACATCTGAAATATGATCATGTTATGAAACCAGTGATGAAGGCTATTAATTATATTCGCTCCGAAGCCCTGTGCCACCGCCAATTTCAACAGTTTCTACGCGACATCCAGGCTGAATACGGAGATGTTGTGTATCACAACAAGGTAAGATGGCTCAGTCGGGGGTCTGCATTGCAGCGCTTCTACTGTCTTAGGGAGGAAATCGGACAATTCTTGGCAAAAAAGGGACAACCGATGCCAGAGCTATCTGATCCTGTTTGGCTGGCTGATTTTGGATTTTTAGTTGACATAACATGACATCTGAATGTGCTGAACACAAGCCTTCAGGGGCAAAATGCAGTAGTAAGCCAACTGTATTCACTTATCAAAGCCTTTGAGACCAAGCTGCTACTTTTCCAAAGGCACCTGTCACAAACGCAGCCCAATACCACACATTTCCCATCGCTGCAGGAAATAATGACCAGTTTTCCACAGAACAATATGAGTGTGCAAATAAGGAGGTATGAAGCAAACATCTCATCTCTGGCTGAGGAGTTTCAACAGTGCTTTTGGAATTTTGCAGCTATTGAAAAGGAGAGCACGCTTTTTTCATCTCCTTTCTCTGTGGACCCTGATGACGTTCCAGACCACCTGCAGCTGGAGCTCATTGAGCTGCACTGTGACGCCGAGTGTTGCAGTCGGCACCAACAGCTCCCTCTTGTCAACTTTTACCACCAGCTGGATAAAGACAGGTTCCAAGAGATTCGAACATTTGCTAAGAAAATGCTGAGCTTGTTTGGTTCGACATACTTGTGCGAGAAGACATTCTCGGTTATGAACATTAACAAGAACCGCGTAAGGACAAGACTAAGTGACTTTCACCTGCGTGACATTTTGCGCACCAAAACCACTGTTTTTGAGCCAGACCTGTCCTATATAATGCAGTCGAGATCTCAGTATCACCCTTCACATTAGTTCAGTTATTTGTTTAGTCTTTCATAAAATAGTTCATTTGCATTTAATGTTAATGGTTCAAAGAATGTCAGGCTGAATGGTCAGCCCCCACACATTTTCACCTCACCAAATCTGGCCCTCCTTGCAAAAAGTTTGGACACCCCTGGCATAGACCAAATAGGAACAATTAATAAACATGAAAATTTTGCATATGAATAGGTGTGTCAGGCCTTCTTGCAAGATGTACCATATATTGAAAATGAAACCTTCTGTTAGTATAGTGATCCTTAACCATTATTCTTACCGTCCTAAGAACTGAACTTCTCCTCTGTGGTGATGAGGAATAGACTTATACTTTCCTAGTTCTCCTTCTGGTCTTGTTACATTGTAACCTACATAGTGAACCCTGTAATTCAAATAAGGAAGGAAGGAAGAACAAAACTTAAATTTAAAATTTAATCCACATATAAACCACAGTTCTATTAAACAACATGCACAAATAAGGAAATCTGTGTGCATGCAAGGTATTTTTGAAATTTCAAAGGTTTCTTCCATGGCTGAACAGGTAATATGGGCTATAAATGGTACAGCTCCATGAAGCAGAAACAACTGAATGAACACATTTCCTCTTGCATGGTCACACATCTTTGTAGGATTGGGGTTTACCTATATGGAAGAGGTGTGTGTGTGTGTGTGTGTGTGTGTGTGTGTATGTCTCAGTTTTCTTTTATTAAAAAAGTGACATAAACCTTGGTTTACTTGTCCAACTGATAACAGTCTCAGAAGATGTTAAAAATTCACATAAATGCACAACATATTCAAGAAATCAAAACAAAAATTCTGGCAAGATTCTAAAAAGCTTCCCATAAACACAGCAGGAAAAAAAATTCAAAAAACAGTGGCCAGTCAGCAAGAAAGCTCAGGAAAATAAAAGAGTTTCCCAACATGCTGGCACTGGTCACAAGAAAACAGAAGAGAAGAATAGTATAGTATAGTATAGTATAGTACAGTACAGTACAGTACAGTATAGTAGTAGAGCTGGAAGGTACGTAGAAAGCCAGCAAGTCCAACCCCATATTCCAATCCCACACATGGTCGCCCATCCAGCTGCAGGCCCATGCCTTTCCAACTTAGCAAAGGTCACTCAACATGCTAGACTGATGTTCTCATAGCTATGCAAGGTAAGGCATTAATTCAGAGTGAAAATGCTTGGGAGGCCCTGGGCGGGGGGGTTAACTGTGCTCATACTCTCACACCATGACTGTGACATCTTTGTCATTCACAGCACCTGTCCCACACTTGGCCCCTACAAAAGTCACCTTGCACTCTCTCACAGTCAACCACCAGTGACAGACACACTTCAGGGACTATCATTGGTTTGACATCCCTTTTCTAAAATATAGAATGAAATTTATGTAAAATTTATTATTTTTTAAAAATACTTTAATTTAGTTAAAAGTGTTTGGGTAGGTACAAAAGTGTGAGCTGCCCCATTTAAAGAAGCACAGAGTTTTGACAGCTAGCTCTCAAAATTCAGGCTTCTTTCAAAATTACCTTTTTGATGATGGTAAGGCTTTTTGAGAGGGGTATATGTGCATAAATATGTCTACACCCTGCTAAAAATAAAAAAACTGGGTTGCATTTTTGAAGAAACTGTTTCAGAAAGAAGCCTGAGCTTTGAAACCATGCTGTTTTCTCTGTGGGTCCATAAATAGAGCAGTTCTCGCTTTTACACCTTCCTGAGCACCTAGAATCTCAGGAAAAGGTGGAAAACTGTGGGGACATTAGGAACACTGAGAGCCACATCCCAAAATTAGAGAATCTCACAGTGAAAGGAAAGTGCTCAGACATACAAAAGCTGCACAAGCAAGAAGAATGAGCATCAAGATCATTGAATGAGCACTTTTAAAGCTTATAGGATTCTAAAATTTTTATTGTTGTATTCTTGTACAACAGATTGTTGTATTCTTGTACAACAGTCCCCTGCACATCTATGTAAAGTTTCATTTCAGTGCCTGCAACAGATAGCTTGCATGGGACTTCCATTTATTAATCCATGCTACATATTCTTTGAATGCTCACCTGTTCCAAAGGTCATCATCTTCTCCACCCCATCCCCAGAAAGCATTTGGAAATCCATTAATTTTTTTGAATTGCTCTACTGTTAGTCCACTAACACCACCAAAAAATTCATTGTATGGAAGACTGAAAATGAAAACAGGCAAATTTTAAACTGCGTAGTTTATTTAAATTAGTATAATTGTCTCTTCCAGCAAGAGATTCCATATCTCATATACAACTATCTTAGCTTAATAAACCACTTAAGATCAGTGGCTCCAAGATTTTGTGAAATGGTTGTGCAATATATAGATGCTTAGAAGCCAAATACACCTCTGAAAGATGAAACATAGCTATTTCTACAAACACACCATCTCCTGGAAGTATCACTAAAGCAAATTGATTAGCATACAGTGGGATGGCTGCATTTAAAGGGCTTGCATCTGTGAAAATAAAGCTTTGGATGTACATACTAGCATCCCAAGCATGGCAAACTACTTCCATGTGCCTAAAATGATCATGTGGCAACAGCCATAAAAACATAGATTTGAAACTATGGCATGCAAATTGAGTATTCATGTGTGGGAGAGCAAAAGCCTAACTGGGCATGCATCTGAAGTTGGTTCTTTAATGGGGCGGGGGTGGGGGAGTTCCCATGGGGGCAATGGTTGGAGGCAGTGGGAGCTACTTAAGTTCCATCCTGAAGTGCCAGAGTCCTTATTCCAATTGGGTATGGATGGATTTACATGAAAGTAGAGGAAAACAGCAATGTCAGCTACATTGTCAACTGTGTAGTTTGGCCCTTAATCTAAAGTATGTCTTACTATAAGAGTTTTGTTTCCTAACAAATGCTCAACATAGAATTTTAGTCTATTTACATGGCTATGTAACCAGCTGCCCCAACACAGTATCAATAAAACTGTAACAAAAGACCTTCTGAAGCCAAATTTCAACCAGTTTCAGAGAAGGAATATAATGAAATTGTACATAAATTGTCAAAGAATTCAGACCCGTAAATTTAGAACCTAGTGATTAACCTTTATGAGAGAAAACAGGATATGTGGCATATAGCCCAAAGCAGTGGATTACGCAAACAAAGCAACTTCACCATTGTTTCTATGCTTAAAGCTACCTAGGCCATGGTAGCTTATGCCAATGCCTATGCCAAGCATTAAAAGCCTTTAAATCACTAATTCCATTCATGTGAATTCAAGTAGTTCCAAGAAAAGTCTGGTAATATCAAAGGAAGCGCAATTTAAAATGTTTATTTTCCAATATTATACCATTCTTAATTGCAAAATTATGTTTAATTGCAAAAATAGAGGGATTCAGAAATAACTTTCTACACGTTGCAAATGAACTGGCTACTTACATGTACATGTATTTGTCCAGCTTTGTGGCAAAGTGACGCGGCATCTCACCACACCCATAATAATTTCGATCATTTTCAGGTAAGTGATCCACATCATGAAAGATTACACAGTCCCACTCACCATCCCTCACAGCTTCTTTGAAGCCAATGTTAAATAGCATTGCTCGGTTAAAGGGTTGTGTTCCAGTCTTAATAGAAGGGGAAAGACAGGGTTAAATAAAAAGACTAGCATATGTAGGTTAGATGCATACTAGCCTAATGCTAAAAGGGTTCTAGACAAACAGATGAATACAGATGGATCTAGATTTAGACAACAAATATCCAATGAAATAAATAGAACTTTCCTCATAACAATTTTAAGTTTTATTAATTTCAGTGGGTCTACTCTGTATGACTAAGTCAAGGTTCAATCATAGTTTAGTACATCCCTGCTAGCAGAAGAGAAACAGAAATTTTATTTAAGACATTTGACCGAAGACCAGACTCCCAAAAACACAGTTAGAATGTATAAATGATCATCTTTTGAAGCAATGGAAGTAAGTGTATTACAGCCAATCAAGGATTCCCTATAAAGAAGCAACACTCCTCATGAATTTTGTCTTAATATCTCAAGAGCAGCTGTTCCTAGCAATCATAATTTACAGATAACACTGAATACTCTTGAACTTTAATTCAAATATATATAATACTGCATTTGAATGTATGCTGAAACAAATAGAAAGCAACTTACCTGTTCAACAACATAAAATGCAAATTCCAGCCTCTGGTTTTGCAACATTGGTATCAGGTGTCGGAAAAATATTGGAAGATGTTCACGGCGATTGCGAAAAGGGATGAGTATTGCAACCTTTAAAAACATAAACCCAACTGAAAGCTATTATGTTAGCAGTACTGAATTACAGAACTCTTTTTCCAACTAATAAATCTCAACAAATAAAAAAGTGATAAAAATAACGTATTAGAGTTTTCTTACAGTTGGTTGCATTTGCAATGTGTGCTCCTTATATATTTTACACATGGCAAAATGTGCTACTGTTCTAAGCATAGTTATGCACAAATTTCAAAAAAGGTAGAACAAATATTTTGTGCATTCCTATAATATACGTAAAAAAACAGCCATTCAAAAATTGAAAGCATATGTCCTCATTTGTCCTTCCAACTTTGCAACATTGGCCTTTTTGCTGTCAAAGAGAATCCATTTCCTTTGACTTTGCATTAAATTTCAGGGAACAGGTAGATAGTTGAGCATAACATGCACATCAGAGCTTTTCATTGCTAAATTTATCCATAATATTATTTTCCTATGTTATGTTGGACAGAAATGTAGTGCATGATCTTGATATTTAGTGTTTTATATTTGTATGCATGCTATATCTGAAGAAAAACAGTCTGAAGGTTCAGATATGCTTTTAAAAGAAGTTTATACCTATCTTTATATAAAGATAAGCAATGTAAGCAGTAAGAAGTTTAAAATATGACATTTTAACCATTAACATAATTTCAGTTGATGCCTGAATACAACTTTAGGTTTTTGTCTTAAAAAACTGACAGGCTATGACCAGCGTGCCTTAGGGCAGGAGTTCCCAAATGTTTTGTGCCTATGGTCACATTTGAGAAACTGTTGTGGACACATAAAATCTAACCAGTGGATTTCCACTTTGGCATCTACCTGTTGTGTTTAGAGATCTTAGGCTATCTAATAAAAGCAAACAAGCAAGCAAGCAAGCAAACTTCATTACCTGTCTATTGGAAACACAACATCCCTTTTAAAAGGAATTATCTAATTTGGTTACTTGCTAATGTGCAATACAACTAATGCTTCCTTTAGAATGCAGTTGAGATGAATGGGAGCCTCCAAACTTGCAGACTTACATTCATCAAAAGCTGAGTGGGAAGAACAACAGAAGCGATCTTTGCCTGTCTGCTCCTGCTGCTCTGTATTCAGCCATTTAGCAACACCATCTCTGAAGGGGGAGGGGGGGAGGAGACTGGAAGCACAACAGGATACCTTGCATCTTGGCCTCCATATCTGCCACAGCCATGATTCGAGGCACAGACAAGATCAAACATGAGACAGCAGTCAAACAGAAACAGAAAGCAAAAGGCAGAATCAAATGGAAGTTCAGGGGTCAATAGCGTAAACAGGATCAAGGAAACAAGAATACAAGGCACTGCAAGCTGACGTGCTGTGTTTCCAACAGCAATCAAGTTCCATCTGAGAGCTGATTTAACTAGAGCTTCCAGAGTCCTAACTGGATTCATCAAAGACTTGGTGCTGTGGCTCTTGAGGCATGTGCTTTGCCTCCAAGTGGGGCTAGGCAGATGCTCAGGCTCCTCCTCAGATTCTGTGGAAGAAGAATAGTTCTCAGGGATTCTTCAGTGTTTACCAAAACTGGGAGATCTGGTGTAGCTTACTTGGAGATACCTATGAGTACCAGAATAAGGATGATGCATCAGGTTCTAGACTGCACAAAATCATCTACTGGGTTATCATAGGTTAGTTAGGCATAACAACCAAAAACCTGACAGATGGGTTGAATGCTGACCAAAAAGCTTAGGCTCAAGCTAAACAAATGAAGGTCCTGTTGGTTGACATACCACTGCAGGATTGGAAGTACAACTTGCTCTGGATATGGAAGCACTTCCTCTAAAGTTTCATGTATGCAGCTTAGGGGTTTTCTTGGATCCAGAATTGTGCCTAGACAATCAGAAGGCAGCAGTGACCAAGAGTGCCTTTTCCATCATCTGGTGGTATGCCAGGAATGCCCCTTCCTGAAGAAGGAAGATCTGACCACAGTAATCAATCTCTTAATTAACTCATGCTTAGATTAACTCAATGTGGGTTGCTTCTGAAGAGCTCAGGCTTACTTAATGCAAAACACCCATACTGGGGTGTGCATTTTACAAACTACGTAATAGTAGTCTTGAAACAACTGCACCAGTTTTCCATTTGTTTTTGAGCTCAACTCAAAATGCTGGGTTTTACCTATAAGCCCTATATAGCTTGGACCCAGGGTATCACCATATGAGCCTGCCTGGAATTGGCAGTCATCATCTGAAGTTCTGTTTCACATCCCATCTTCTAGACAGGTAAGATTGGCTAGTATTTATAGCAGAACCCATTTGTGGAATACCCTCCTCAAGAAGTTAGCCTCCTTTTTTAAATGCCCTTCAGATGGTTTGTGAAGACTATATTAGTCTGCTGAGCTTTTAATAGTTAATTTTGCCATCATTAATCCCTATTTTTAAAATGTGTTAGGATTTGTATTTCTATGTATTTTAATCTTTGTATTCTTACTAGACATCATCTCAAGCTGAAAAAAGACAATGAAAAATATTCTAAATAGAATATCTAATTTGATCTTAAGACAGTTAAACTTGTATCGCCAGTTAATGAATCCATTTTTCTAAAAAGTGCTTTTGAAAAGCCTCAGAAAAGATGGCTTTCTTAACCTGTGAAAGGATGACAGATTTGGCACCAGCCAGGCTTCAGTGGGGAGGTTATCCCATGGATGGAAGGCAACCACTGAGAAACCCTCCACAGTTGCCACAGATTGCAACTTCTGAGAAGGATTCTTACAAATTGTAAACAGGTTAATGGAAAGTGGCTTCACCTCACCTTCCAACGTGGTTTGCAGTCTTTTGGCTTCCAATGACCACCTGGTTCAATGTCTAAATCTTTTGCAAACATTTGCTGAATGTCATCCAAACTAATTTCACTCATATTGGCATCAATAAAGCCTCCTAGGTAGCAAGAAACATAAAATATTAATTTTGATTCTAGTTTTTGCCCATAGTTATAACTAATGGATATATTCTACATAGCTAATATTATGCAGAGAAGCAATATCCTGTTATCAATTCATACAGACCTCTATCGAATGCTGACTGTCCATCAATGATCTATGATATATGGATGTTATCAACTTTGTTCCATCCATCTGTTTCAGATTGTCACATAGTTTTAATTCTATCAATTTAAAAAGGTCCACAAGCTCATGAAATCCACAGGGTGGATTTCTGATTGGAAAATGGTAGTCTGTTGGAGAATCAGTGCACCAGATTCTTAGAAATTCAAACCCATTTGAATTAACAAATTCATTAACATCCACTAGGTAGAACACAAGTCATTGGAGGAACTGTTCTCCTCTCATACCATTTAACCCCCAGGTTGGAATAGTTTAGGAAGGCACAGGAGGAATGCAATGGTGAGGAAAGCAAGGCTGCCTCATGTTCCATTTTAACCATTGCCTTCCAAATGCTGCTGCTTTGCAATTCAAGAGAAGACAGGATTCTGCTTGTCAAGTGTAGAACATCCAATAAACATAGGAGAGACATATGTGATACTACTTTGTTGAATTTCCTTCAGATTAATGAATGTCACTGGATATTGTTCTCCCCTGCCAATAGCTGAATTGAGGGGGGAGGTAAAACCCCCTTAACCTAACTTTAAATGTTAAAAAATCTAAAACTTTCACTGTGCCCTCTTGCCACTCTGACTTGTGCTACACTGAGGACTGATTCATACTTTAAAGCATAGACATTTTCTGCTTCAGTGCATTATTTGATAACTATCCCAAATGAAAAGATAAAATTCATTTTTGTAAACATGCACTAGATACAAACCAGAGAACTTCACCCAACTCTGATTTTTCAGGACGTGGCATTGTGTATTTACACAAATATCTATCCCCCCTGCCGTTTACTTGAATTTATCACTGCAAACACTGGCCTGGTTTGACTATAATCCTAAACTGAAGTTGAACATTATGCATACAAGCCTGCTACCAACTCCCTGCACCACAGCCACAATGAGATCAGAGCTTCTGCTTCCGTTTTCGGCCATGTTTGTGTGATCAAACAACCCCTGTTGACAGGGTTATTGACACCACAGTGGGCTGTGGCATGTGCCAGCACCCATTTTTAATATTCAAGGAATGAATGCCAGCTTGTTGTGTTGACTTTTAAGATTCCATAAGCATTGTTTAACCTTAATGCAACTGACCACAGTAGAGTTCAGATGACACAACACGCTGAGGTTGTAACTTAAATTTTCAGAATGATCCATAGTTTTAGAACTTGATTGAAGGACAGTGTTTTAAAGTCATTTTAATATTCTAACAGGTTATATAGTACAGTGAAAAACTTACTCATATAAGGCAACTTTTCTGGACAAGGTTGGCAAGGAGAGTAAGTGAAATTTTCTGGAAGATACATCACAGTCTGAGCAAGGTTATCACTTGTGTTGTTGCCTTCAGGGTAATCTTAATAGAAAGAAAAATAAGAAGATGCATTGTTCAGCTATTTTGATGTTTGCTAGGCAATATCTTCACATAATTCTAAAATCACTACACCGATTTGTATGTAAATTGCTTCTGCATATTAATTATGTGTTTCTGAACTTAAAATCATCTGTCAGGAAAATTTAAAAATGAAAAACTGTACATTCTTACCTGTGCCATTTAATGTAGCATTTTTGTTAGTGTACAACCTGATCATATGTCCTATTGTTTTTACATTTTCTCTCAGCATTATACCTCGTGCTTGTACCATAAATAAATATGTGTTTGCTGTTGAGGAAAGAAAAATCTAAATTAGCTTTCATTTGAAATATAAAATTGAATACACAATGCTTTAATTATGACCCCAATGAACATTTCAGGTGAATCAACACAGTTGAATCAGTTAAAGTGCTGACAAAAATGCAGGGTCTATGAGCTATGAGGGTCTTAAGAATACTTTGAATATGAAATGAACAAAGTTCAGTATGAAATATAGAATAGAAGCCTTTTTTTCTCATTAATTCTGCAAAACTCTATTAGATGTGAAGAGTGTTTCTGAAATAAAAGGGAAAAAAGGAATAATTATGTGTAGCTCCAACATCTGTTCTTCTCACAGATCCAACAGGCACTTGATGCTAATTGCACTGATAATCTGTCTGGTAAAAAATATGCAAGCACAAAAGAACATTCTTCTGTACAACTCAATCCCATGATGCACTAGTAATAACTATAAGCAGAAAGCTGCATTTACTGGGTAACTCACTGATATGATACCTTGCCATGTCAATATCTCTCTCCAAGGAAAAAAATCACATTGTTTCTGATCCATGCAGCTTTCTACTTACACATACACCACAGGTATGGTATCACTTCTACAGCATAGGATTAAAAATCAGGTGAGATTGCACACAAAAAATACCATACCTTTTATCAACCTACCTTTTCAACAAGACAAAGAATCTTGTTGAAAAATGAAATTACAAATAGAACAGTAACAGTATGTATCACTACTTGAAATTGCATCACTAGCATGAAGAATATAAAGTAGATAAAAGTATAGCTTTAATTTACATCCTATTAGACCCTATCAGGCATGCTGTAAACAAATTTATTAAATAGAATGTATCACAGGTAGAAACCTATCACAGCAAAACCACTACATGAAACAAATCACATATCATACCCAAAGCAATATCAAACAGTCATGAAAGATTCCCAGTAGGATTATGCTTTCACTATATTAGTTAAATTTAGGTTATTCACACGCAGGCAACCCCTAAAAAAATATTCTGTCTTAGAAACCAATGCAAAATTAAACTCAGTCAGGCTGGCTGTTTTATCTGGCCCATTCCTTATTTTTTCAGGAAAGTACATATACCAATAAATATGCCATTTACCTGGACCAAGAAGCATGAAAACCAAAACACTGTTAATAAAGATAGCTAGCTGCTGGATACAGTTCTCAAATGCTAAAGGCTTTCAGAAGACATTTCTATGAAGCATGAACAGTAAGACCCTGTCCCCACATTTCAACTTAGCAGTACCACAATATCATAGACTAACATCTTAGGTAATGCACATGACCAGCATCTTCTCTTGACAGAAAACAGTCAACCAATCAAGGTGGCAGCACAAGTATTTTTAAGCCCAAACAGATGAATGAAAAGCAGTTCACTTCAGCATCAGAGGCCCTCTGCTTCTTCCCTTCCCCCTTCTTTTCCGTTTCCTTTCAATTTCAGACATCTTCACCAAGAGACCTTATCTTTCTTCTGCTGCTATCATCTAACTCAAGTCCCACTAATTGCTTCTCAGTTCTGCTAAATATTCCAAGTCTTCTTAAGACATTCAAAACTTAGCTGAGGTCTGCTTTCTGTTCCTACCCATGGCAACATCACACAAGAAGGTTTCTCCTTGAAATCCTTCTCCCTGCAGGCCTTCCAAATCTTCTCCAAAGGGTGGGGATACCATTCAGAGCAGAACTGGAAGGTACACCTGAGGGATGGGGAGGGCAAAACTATTCTGCCAGTGGTTTCCATTCTGCAACTTCACTTTCAGCTGTCCCACCAATGTTACACAAGTTATAGGTTCCCTTTATGTAAAAATGGGTTTGTGTGCATAATATTTTAGCTCTGCATAGTATTTTATCCTGCATAATATTTTAGCTCTTATGTAAATAAGGCTGGATAAGCCTCAGGCTCACATATGCACCAACCCCTCTTCTCTTCAGTTGACACAAAGGTCAGAAGCACCCACTTTCCATTTAAACTAGCTTGATTTGTACATTCAGCAATAACAAACTGTGGTTATGCAAAGGTCAAACTGTGACTTGGAATTCTGATTTTTTCAATAAACTTTAGTTTAAACTAACTGCAGTTCTAGGTTCATACATTCATGACAAACTGCAGTTACTTTATAACATGAAGTTATATGGTTCCAGCCCCCAAATTGTGACTAGAACAGAAGTGGGAAGGAGAGAGGAAGTACATGGTCCTTAGGCTCATACAAGTATATGCATAACTCACCAGTGAATTACAGGAAAGGAAAAAGATGAAATGCATTCATTACGAAACCAAAAAGAAAAGTCTGTCTAAAAAAAGGTCATGCATTCCCACTTCCTCAATTTAATACAATCATTATATATGAACGTCAGAATCTTCAGAGAGCTATTGCTATTAGTTTAAATAAAACTGCAGCACTAAGTGTACCTCCTTGTAACAAGAGCCAAGATCAGTGTGACAAATCAAATCCTGATGCAGTATCTATTCTGCCTTTAGATTAACTGAATTCATACAACAGGCAAACTTGTATGGTTACCATGGTTCATGGGGTTTTTTTACCTTAATCTAACCAACGGACAATCAAGTGGTTTCTATTTAAACAGGGTTGCCATCCTTTCTGCTGAGTCCTCCCATGCTTGGCAGGTATCCCATCAGCCACTGTGCCAGAAACTCAGTCCAAAGGTGCATCACTCCCTGTCTATGTTGCCTCCCTTTTCCTTATTAGTCCATGCATAAAGGCTAGATAACTGGAGCAGCTCCTGCAGTTGCCAGTCTCTACAGAGGATTCTGTGGTAGTAGCATACCATGAGCAAGGAAACCATGCACTTGGGTTCAGACAACATGACGAGCCGTGGTAGTACAAAGAAACCATAGAACAGGCTATGGTTTCTTATTGTGGCTTCTAAAAACCAAACAAACCATGCTGAAATGCCATGACAGGGTTCCTATGACACAGTAGACCATCCTCCACAAGAAATCAATATGACTTGTCATGTTGTGCAAACCTGCACATTGAGTCCAGATTGAAGCATGTGTTAGGTAAAAATTCAACGTGTTGGTTTTGTGACCTTGAAAACTATAAACTGTTTGGGACCAGATTATCTGAAGGATTATATGAAATTATATGAGCCTGCCTAAGCACTGAAATTAGAGCATAAGGCTTATTTTCTGGCCTACAGATAAAGAGTTTTTATGGCTTTGCTATTGCTAATTTTTAAAACTTTAAATGTTTTAATTATACTATGTTTTATCAATTAATGAGCTGTGGTTGAATAATCTTTTCTTCAGATTTCAAGTCAATGTTTTTAAAATAATGGTTAAATTGTAATTATTACTGTTTGTTGTTATAATAATAATAATAATAATAATAATAATAATAATAATAATAAAACTGCCTGGTGAGTATGCCATAAATGGTAAGTTTATTTTTAAAAATACACCAATAAGCTATATCAATGGGGGAAATGTTGATTTGTATTCTAAGCTGTAGTCACACTGTTTCATCAGGATAAATTTGCTTTGAAATGACTGCCATTGAGCACTTCTCCCCATCTTGGATGCACTCCTTAACTTGGTGAAGGCTTTGAGAGTGTCAGGGAAGCCAAGAGCAATGCTGCTAAGAGGTCAGGCTGCCCCCTAGGCAGAGTTATCCAAGGTGAAATGATCAAAATGGGCACACCAAACTAGGATGCTCCCACCTACTTAAGGAGTAACAGTCACAATAGCAGAAGAGAAAGGTGATGCAGGCAGAGGAACTCCTGAAGGAGAGCTATTGCACAGCATCGATAGCTGAAAGTAATACTGATGGAAGGGCTTTCACAGACCATGGCAGTTATGGTCAATCTAACTCTGGATAGTACTGTGCAGAAGAAGGCAGAAGCAAACCACTAAGGCAAGATGCTGCATAGACCATAAGAAAATATAATGCAAAGTCTGGCTTAATAATATTAATCAGAATTCTCAGAAAACCTATCAACATAACCATTGTTGAAGTCTACACTCCAACATCTGATGCTGAAGAAGAAACTGTAGCATCCAAGAAGAAACTGATGACACACTGAAACAGGACTTGTTGATAATCATAAGTGACTGTAACACAAACATATGAAAAAACCAGACTCAAATGTTGTAGGAGAACCGATGACTGTACACAAGGCCATCAGCAACTGTTAATACAGAAATCAAAGAACCCACATAATTGGAAGTACATGATGGATAAACTGTTTTCTCACTGCCCAAACAAGCGATTGTGAAACTGACAGAGAACAAGTGACATCAACAACCAGAGCAAAGCTGAAAAAGATGGAAGTATAGTACCAAAGAACATTTTAAATCATACTCCTGATGAATGCAAAGTCAACATAAAGAACAGATTTACATTACTGATCTCAACAAACCATGGCCAGAAGAATTGTGGGTTGAAACCAAATATTTTATTAGGAAGAATGCAAAACTACAATTTACTGTAATAAAAAAAGGGTGGGGGGGGGGGGAGAAAAGCCTAAGTGGATGACAGAAGAAATACAGTTGCTAAGCAGAGATAAGAAGCAAAAGCAAAAGATAGTAATAGGATCAGAAGCATGAATGCAACAGAAAGAACTATTATAATGGACCATGCAAAGAAATAGAAGAGAACCAAAAAAGAAGAAAAACAAAGGACCTCTTCCAGAAGATCCAAGAAATCAAAGAGAAACTCAGACCTAGATTAGGAATGTTAAAAGACCAAAAAGAGAGCATACCATCTGACCAGGACAAAACACAGAGAAGGTAAAAACAATCTACAGAAGAACTATATAGAAGGGATAAAAGAATTCCTTTAAAGAGGAACCCATGAAGAAGAGCCTGCAATATTATGAAGGTCTCTCCAAAACCACTTGGAAGGTGTAAGGCATCCAGAGTAGATACCAAATATAATTATGCCAGCCTATCAGTCCAAATCCTAATAAGAATATGCTAACAAATATGGAAAAGGCCCACAGACCAGAAACATCCAATATACAGTTCCAAAGAAAGGGGATGCTAAGGAGTACAACAACTTTGCCACTATTGCATAATTTTCTATGCAAACAAAGTGGTGCTTAGGGTGAAATTTACTCTATGTGGAGAAAGAAATGCCTGATAATCATGCTAGATTCTAAAAAGCAAGAGGCACTCAATATCATATCATAAATATCTGTTTGCTACTGGACCTCATTAAGGAATTTCAAAAGATCAATCTACACTTTATAAACTACAACACAGTCTTCAGTGTGGATCATGAGAAGCTATGGGTGTGCCTCAGCTCTTGATTGTTCTGACATGTAACCTGTACTGTGGTCAAGAAACTATTGTCAAGACAAAATAAGGAGAAACAGAATGGTTTCCTATAGGAGAGGATCTCAGACAATGGTGCATTTTACTTCCCTGTCTGCTCAATCTGTTCACAGAACATAATATAAGGAAAATTGGATTACGATTGGGCAAAAGAGTGAAAATTGACAGAAAATACCTCAATAATTCAAGCTATGCAGATCATACCACTTTGCTGGTAGAAAACAGTGATGATTTGAAACAACATCAAAAATCATTGCTAGAGAAGACTCACACAGCTTTATCATCCACAATAAATAATTGTGAAAGATTACCTTGGTCAATTATCAATTTTAAGGGAGACTGCAGCCATGAAATTAGAAGACTGAGACTTGAAAGTGTAGCAATGCAGGAACTAGAAAAGATCAATTGTATGGATGTTTCACTGGAGACTAAGGCCAAGATCATCCACACTACTGTATTGCCAATCATATGTACAGGTGTGAAAGCTAGACAGTGAAAAAACCTGACAGGAAGAAAATTGATGCATTCATAACATGGTGCTGAGGGAGAGCTTTGTGAATATCCTGGACTGACAAAAGGACAACCAACTGGATCCTGGATCAAACTGAGCCAAAACTTGCCCTGGAAGCAAAAATGATTTCATATTCATATTTACCATATTTCAGGGACTTCATGAGAAGGCCAGGCACACTAGAGAAGCCAATAATGCTAGGGAAAGTTAAAGGCAGAGGAGGAAGACCATATGAGATGGCTTGATTCCATAAAGGAAGCCACAGTCCTGAGTTTACAAGAGCTGAGCACGGCTGTCAAGGGCAGGACATTTTGGAGGTCACCCATTCATAGTCACCACAAGTCAGACTTGACAGCATGCTACAACAACATAAAACACTTCTGCAGGAAAACTCCAAGTTAAATAAATAAATTTTACAGCTGTCGAAAGCAATGCTTGGGTGGGCTGTTCTAGTCACAAATTTTGTCACAGGTATTGTCATCTTACTCAGCCATCTTACACAATAACTTACACAGTCATCTCACACATTTAAGCACCACCACCAGGAAGGTGGGTGTGCTTTTGTCAGCAGCAACAATTCCCAGTTGGAATGCTGATGAAACTGATGCATCCTGTTCCTTGAAGCCCCACTCCTATGGTAACATTATAGACAGATGTGCATCACCCATAGCAGGAAAAAAACCAATCCATGCTGTAACCCATATAAGCCTTTGGTACTTGGTTTATTCCTGGGAAGGCAGGGAAGTGGGTGGTGTGTGTGTGTGTGTGTGTGTGTGTGTGTGTGTGTGTGTGAGAGAGAGAGAGAGAGAGAGAGAGAGAGATCATCATATGTTTTGGTATCTTACAATGAAACAGTAGCAATTTATGAGTTCCTGCAGGCCACTTTGTGTTCCTTGCAAGTGGAAATAGGTGGGATATAAATGTAATAATTAAATATCTGTCCCTGCCTTAATAGCTGCAATAACAGGTAATGACTTCCATGTGTGAAAATAATCGCTACACAGACTTTCCCATCATCTCCCATAATTTTAACAACATATTTTCCAATGGAGAGAACAAATTCCACTATAAATCACCTCTGGAGGGGAAACCCAAGATAATGCCTGCATAGTTGCATCGATCAGCCCCAAACGAATCCTTAGGAATTGGGCAGGCTTAGAGTGGCACGTCTTTTAAACCCACCCACCGACCTTGTGGGGGGAAAAGCCAAGATCTCTTCTTACCTATTCCAGGAGCCACATATATGAAATAGAGACAGGAGGAGGAAAAGGAAAAGAAGAAGAGGAAAACGAAGATGGAGCGGTTGGAGACTCGCAGTGCCTTCTTGAAGAGAAACATCCTCCTCTGCCAAGGCAGGGGCAACCCCTCCCTAAACCCAGCGGCTGGCGGCGGCGGCGGCGGCGGCACTTCCCAGGCAGAAGGTGGCAAAAGCCGCCCACGGACTAGATTCCAAAGCAAACCAGCCGCTAAGAAAGCCAAAGGAGGCTCGGCTGGGCCCTCGGGATGGCAGGAAGCCCAAGCAGCAGCAGGAGGGATGGACGCGTCGACATGATCGGAGTGGTGAGGCAGCCACAAGACGGGTGGGGTTGAGAAGATCCCACGCAATACGGGACACCGAGGGAGGGGGGGAGGTCTTGCATTCAAACACCAGGGAAGGAGGAGGCTGCCGGGGAAGCAGCGATGGAGAAGGGGAGATCGCGTGGCGATGGACGCGGGAAGAGCGGGGCAGGGCTTCCTGGCGCAGGAGAGAGTCCGCAGGAGGCTGGAGAGAGGCGTCCAGAGCTTTTGCGCCTCAAACGCTCCCGGGCTCGCCCTGGCCCCAGCTGCGTCCGCCAGAGGCGGCGCTCCTCCCGGCCGACGCGTGGGTGGGCTCTAGCGGTGCCTGTAGAGGTGAGGCAGCTGCTGCCGATTGGCTCCGGGTCTCCTCAGCCCACCAGAAGCCGACTCAGCCTCCTCCGCCCTCGTCCTCTTGGCGGCTGGCAGCGTCGCCCGTGGCCATCGCGGCATCCCCGCAGCTTGCCGGCTCCTGCCCTCTCCCCTGTCAAGCCCTCCCGCCGCTTCTCGCAGGGGCCGGGCAGGTGCCTCTACTGCGGTGGCGGCGAAGCGGGGGCGCGCGCGCGCCGGAGCTTCCCAGCATGGCCACGGACTGCAGAACTCCGCGCCCCGAGGGAGGCGGAGGAGGAGGCGCGTGCATGCGCCGCTCGCGCGCGCCTCGGCTGCAACCAGGTGCGCGAGCAGCAGCGGTGGTCCCTCGGCCGGGGGGCGAAACCTGCGCCGCCCTGTCTGCATTGGTCGAGCGCAGGAGGCGTCTTCTGCACCGACTCCGAAGAACCGGGATTTAGATGGGGAAATCTGGGTGCCGTGCAGATCACTTCGGGGCAGAAAAGTTACTTCGATAATCCAAATAGCCTGTATTAAGATTGTCTTTAGTGGGTTTATTTAGAAATTCTTAGTAACCCTGCTTAAAGCTGCAATCCCCGCAGCTTCTAAAACCCTTTTAGAGTGGACAAGTTTAGCTTTGATTCCCAAGGGGTTTTGTTTTCGCTTTGCTTTGCTTTTATCCCCTAAACGTAGCTGGTAATATATTCAGAGAACCTGAGACAGTACTACTTGGAAGTGGGTAGGTATGCATCTGCTTAAACGCTGCTATGTTGACAGACCTGAACAACTGGAAAATACGTATTTCAGTTCCAGCATCGGATGTGATGCTGTGGGGCTAAAACAAGCAAAAGCCAGTCCAGGTGCCTAAAAAGTACCCTGCCGCTTTGCTTTCTGTAGCCTGTCCAGCCTTCCTGGTGTTGCTGCTACCACAGTATATGAGGAGCAGCATTTACTCGATGTGCTCTGGAGAGCTGGAGAGGGCTGTCAGTTGGAGATGCACAGGAAGTTGCAAAGCCGACTCTACACGCCTAGGGACCCTAGCATCTTGTTGCAGATGGGGCCCTACCCACCCGCTGAAGCCAACCTGCCAACTCACCAAAGGCACCCATCCAAGTTACCCACCTGCTCACCAGCTTGCTGGCCAAACACAGAAGCTCCCAGTAAGTCCTCTAGTCTGGTTTTCTTTTCATCCCATAGTGGCAGGCTAGTAAAGTGCTGATGCACCCAACCAGCCAAGCTTGCAGATTCCAAATGCAATTTTAATTCTTTATTTTTTAAAAAAAACTTAGCTTATGGGTAGCAGCAATCTGAACCAATCAAATTCTGCCTTTTGAAGGGGTGGACTTGACCAGTGAGGGCATGGGGGAAGGTAAAGGCTGCCCTATGAGCCTCATTGGCCTTGTAGCTCCCAAACTGCTTGATTAGTTCAGAACTCTGCCATTCAAAATATTTTTAAGCCTTTTAAAATGGGGTGCTGTGGGCCCTGCAATCTTAGCCATGGGACTTCTTTAACCACTAGGGCCAGATGGAAGGTGAGGAGGCTAGCTGCAGCTGTGACAGGTTTAACAGCAGGAAAGGGCTCTTCTGAGCCTCTGGACCCTTGGCAGATGGCTTGCCATGCCAGCACTGACACCAGAACTTCAAGGTGGGCCAATATCCTTGAAGGGTCTTTGCTCCAAAATACAGTCCTACTATTCAGGAAGAGCTTGGCTTGGCAATACATGGAATCTGTTGTCCTTAGCTCTGCAATAGCAGCCACATGTTCTCCCTCTGCATGGGCAACGATAGCATGAAAAGGAATCCTGTCATCCATCACCAACTTGCTTCTTCCCTGGAGGGAGGTGCAAAATGGCCAGATCCCATTCTGGAGTCAAAGGGAAAATGGCAAGGCCATAACAGCAAACATGCTAGTATTTTTAGCTTACAACTCCCATGGTCAGTAGCCAGGCTTTCAGAAAGGCATTTAAACGATTTAGAAGGGGAAACTGCATAAGAGGAACTCATCAAACCATCAGTGGTTAAGGGAAAAGACGTATTTCCATGGAAGTGGGCTTTGGCCTTGTGAGGAATGCTGGTAGGCTGGATGAGGCCCCTAGACACTAGTAAAGTAAAAGCTAGAGTGGCTTCTAAACTGGTGTGGCAATATGTGCATTTACTGAGGGTTGACTACATATGGACTTGTCTAACTTGGCCTAGAAGAATCAGGTTACAAAACATCTTATTGTGTAAACTTGTTTTAAATTTTCTTTCTACTGATTTTCCCTTCATTGGGTTTCTCTGAGCAACATGTGTGCCAACTACTTGACTCTTCTGAGAAAAGTCATGCTATCAATAACCCAGTGTAAAAAGGTAAAGGTAAAGGTTTCCCCTTGACATTAAGTCCAGTCATGCCCAGTGAAGCAATGACAAAATCCATACAGCTTTAGGAATGTTTCAGGAATGTGACATTATAAATGGAAGAAAGGATAGGTGTTGTAAGGGGGTGGAGCAGATACTAGGCATATTGTGCACATAGATACATGATAGTGGCAGCTCATAATGAGGCTTTCAGTGCATAGAAGAGTTAGCACAAAACTTTCCTCAACTTGTTTCCCATGCCCAAATAAAGGTAAATTATGTGGTGAGGAGGGGAAAGGGTACAGCAGAACTTTACCAGGCTTACAAAAAAAAAATCTCAAGTGATCAGAGACATGGCTATGATGGAAATGATAATCAACATCCTGTCCATAGAACCAGGATTAGACTGCAGGCTGTATTTTCTTCTGGAAGCCCATGCAACATTCTACTCTAAAAACATAGATTGACCTGTATCCATGCTTAGCCCTATAGAACAAACAACACTTATTTCTGCATGTATCAGGAATGCAAACAATGTCAACATTGTGTCATTCACAGTTCTCTCATACACACATCACAGACTTGGATAGACTGCATACTCAGTTGACCAGTGCAAGTCCACCACCTGTATAAATAACTGTGCAAAGAGTTCAAGGCTGGAAACAGCTAGGTGAGACGGAGAACAAGATGCAAATTAGTTTGCATGGATTGCAGCAAAGTTGGCTTGGCAACCTTCTTCTCTGGACCACAGGACTAGGCTACAAAAATTACAGATAGTATCATGTAAGAATGCTTCATAGACCTTATGAAAGTAGTACATGGAAAGATCAAGTTAGATCCACACCAAATGAATGTGACCTGCTTATCAGCATTGCATAATGGAAAAATAAAGTTCTAATGCAGCTTTGTACAATGGCTTGGAGGGTCGAATGCCTGCCCCTTTAAAGGAGGCGGTAATACGACCGGTCCTGAAGAAAGCATCACTGGATCCAGAGATGGCCACTAACTATAGACCTGTGGCCAACATCCCGTTTCTGGGCAAGGTGTTGGAGCGAGTGGTGGCGGGACAACTCCAAGCACTCTTGGATGAAACTGATTATCTGGACCCTTTTCAGTCCGGCTTCAGACCCGGGTACAGCACTGAATCTGCCTTGGTCGCCCTGTACGACGACCTGTGCAGGGAGAAGGACAGGGGAAGTGCATCCCTATTGGTTCTTCTGGACCTCTCGGCGGCTTTCGATACCATCGACCATGGTATCCTTCTGGATAGACTTGCGGGATTGGGGGTTGGAGGCACTGCTTTGCAGTGGTTCCGCTCCTATCTCGACGGTCGATTCCAGAAGGTAGTGCTGGGGGACCATGTCTCTACGTCATGGCAGCTATGCCATGGGGTACCACAGGGCTCCATTCTATCCCCTCTGCTATTTAACATCTATATGAAACCGCTGGGAGAGGTCATCAGGAGGTGTGGGCTGCGGAATCATCAATACGCTGATGATACCCAGCTTTACCTCTCGTTCTCCACTAATCCAGGTGAGGCAGTGGCTGTGCTGAACCGGTGCTTGGCCGAGGTAAGGGAATGGATGAGGGCCAATAAACTGAAACTCAACCCAGACAAGACGGAGGTCCTGTTGGTTGGCGGATCGGGCTTCGGAGAAGGTGGATTTGACCTGGTCCTGAATGGTGCAACACTCCCTCTTAGGGATAAGGTCTGCAGCTTAGGAGTATTGCTCGACCCGGAGCTTTCTTTGGAAGCTCAGGTGACAGCGGTAGCGAGGAACGCCTTCCTTCAGCTTCGGCTGATTAATCAGCTGCGCCCCTACCTGGAGTACGACTGCCTGGCGACAGTGACACACGCGCTGGTGACTTCCCGCCTAGACTTCTGTAACGCGCTTTACGTGGGGCTTCCCCTGAAGACAGTCCGAACACTTCAATTGGTGCAAAATAGAGCTGCCAGGTTGCTGACGGGGACGGGGCGTTATGCTCACATGACTCCAGTCCTCCGTCAGCTTCACTGGCTTCCCATTGAAGCCCGGGCCCAATTCAAGGTGTTGATTATGACCTACAAAGCCCTAAACGGCTTGGGTCCTGGCTACCTGAACGAGCGCCTACGTCCGTAT